GAAGGGATAACAGGCACCAAGCAAGTCAGCAGAACACATTACATTAGCCCTCAAGGCTTTGAAAATAATCTTCTGTTCTCTGAGAAAATTTACACAGTAGCTCTGACCTCCAGACTCTAGGTATTGGCCACAGTCTCTGGATTTTGAGTGGAGGCCCCTCGGCCCTGGGCTTCAGCTCCGCCTTCCAGGCCCACTGGGACAGCAACTCTGCTCCGGCCCTGGGCTTCAGCTCCGCCTTCCAGGCCCACTGGGACAGCAACTCTGCTCCCTTGGCTTTAGGAGCACCATTCTCCTAGTCCATCGGAGTGACAACTCCACCATTAGAAACACCAGAGGCCACAGCTCCACCCTTTGAAACCCCTGAGGTCATGGCCATACCTTTTGAGGCTGAAGCAGGTCGGCTTCTTGTGTCCCTTGTCTCTTCAGCTTCTGCCTCCTATGGTCTCTCGGCCCTCGGGCCTCACGCCCGCATCTGCCCTGCTGGGGCAAGTGTTCCAAAGCTCAATAGCTCCACCGGTATAAGTGCCCAGAGGCACCCCACTCCGCCAGAAAGCCTCGAGTGCACAGACACCCAGCTCTCTTGTTCTGTGGGTCGGCAAGCCTAGCTCCACCAATAAGTGCCCGGAGGCACCCCACTCTGCCAGGAAGCCTCCTGCTCACAAGCATTCAGCTCTCTCGCTCCATGGGTCGGCTCCAGCGCTGTCTCGCACTGGTCTCCTGGTTCTGCTGCTGTTGGTTCTCTGCCGCTGCCATTTCTCTGCTGCTGTAGGTCCTCTGCTGCTGCTGGTCCTCTGTTACTGCCGCACGTCTATCCATTCACAGTTTTAAAACCGCTTCCACATTTTAGGTATCTGTTAGAGCAGCACCCCACTCTCTTGGTACCAAATTCTCTCTTAGTTATCTAGTGCTGCTACAACAGAAATACTACAAGTGGATGGTTTTAATGAAGAGAAGTTTATTTCCTCATAGTCAAAGTAGGCTAAAAGTCCAAATTCAGGGCATCAGGTCCAGGGGAAGTCCTTCTTTCTCTGTTGGCCTTCTCATCAATGTTTCCCCGGACTAGGAGCTTCTTTGCACAGGGACCCCGGTCCAAAGGACCCGCTCTGCTCCTGGCACTGCTTTCTTGATAGTATGATGTCCCCCTGTCTCACTGCTCATTTCTGTCTTTTATATCTCAAGAGATTGCCTCAGGACACAATCCAGTCTGGTAGATCAGGTCCTCCCTTACTAATACAACTGCCACCCATCCTCCCTCATTAACATCATAGAGGCAGGTTTACAACGTACAGGAAAATCACACAGTACCAGGAATCATGGCCTAGCCAAATTGATACACACATTTTTTGGGGGACATAATTCAAACCATGACAATAAGCATTAATCTGAAGCTTATTAGAAATGCAAATTTTGCAGGTCCTACCCCAGACTATGGGTCAGAATCAACTCGATGGCAACAAGTTACCTCAGACCTACTAACTCAGAAACTCTAGGGTTGAGGACCAGGAATCTATGGTATAACAAACTACTCAGGTGATTCTTATCCACATTAAAGTTTGAAGAGCACTGCTTAAGAGATAAGAAGGATGTGAAAGAACAAGAAAGGAAAAAGAAAAACCAAAATTTTTATCTCCTTTATCTCTTTATCTTGAAAAAAAATCTCACCCACCTGGCAAAATTCCAAGTCTAGCAGTCTGCACTGGTATACTGGTTTGAAGTAATACCAGAAGCAACATACAGGCCCTGTGGCCAATAAAATAATATGGATTTTATAGGTATCTAAAACACTATGTATATATGTAACATTTCATATCTCCCAGTCTCTGTTTCAGTACTCAGAATGGTACTTCAAACCAGCATCTATTCCACTAAATGGTTATTCTAGAACACAGGTCATTTTTAGCTTCTGCAAAGCAATGTTGTTGTTGTTGTGTGTCATCAAGTCAGTTCCGACTCATAGCGCCCCCATGTGAAAGAGTAGAAATGCCCCATAGGGTTTTTTACGGAGCCCTGGTTCCTCAGCAGTTAAGACTTTGGCTGCTAACCAAAAGGTCACCAGTTCAAATTCACTAGCCACTCCTTGGAAACCCTAAGGGGCAGTTCCACTCTGCGCTATAGGGTCGCTATGAGTTGGAATTGACTTGACGGCAATGAGTTTTTTTAATCTTTATGGGTGCAGATCGCCAGGTCTTTCTCCCATGGAGCAGCTGGGTGGGTTCAAACTCCCAATCTTTCCAGCTAGCAGCCTAGTACTTAACCGTTGTGCCACCAGGGCTCCCTCTACAAAGCAATAATTACTAATTATTCAATTTTTTAAAACTTCAACCTTTCAAAAAGGGATCTATAAAGTACTCAACTTATTTAAACTGGACTAAAAACAAAAACTGTGAAATAAAAAAATGACGACTTTCTTTTGAACAGTACTGTTGAGTGAGATGAAGTCCTCTTATCACCTCAGAGCTTTAGTAAAACTGAGGGATGCTGTCCCTTTGTCCACAGAAATGACAGAAGCCAGGTAACGTAAAGAGCAACAAGGTAAAAACATTACTGTACTTAAAAAGGGCTACAGAAATGCTAAAAATAAAATCCTCATATTTACATAGTTTTTTAAATGATGATTTATTATAGGTCATCTGTCAGGAATGAAGAAGTTGAAAGTAACATTATTTAGGATTGAGTGTAGATAAAAAACTAGATCAGGTAACAATGAAACAAAGTTTTAAGGTTGTTTAAGTTTGGAGACAAAATAAATGATGGCTCCTTAAAACAGGTAAAACTATAAGTCTTAAGAAAGCACAGCATGGAAGAACTTGTTATGGAATGATAACTGAGCTACTTGGCAATAATGATGATGATCCAATTGTACATATAACACAATTAAACATTCTGCTGGAAAGAAAAAAAGTAAAAAAAAAAAAACTATCACATAGGCAATACTAGAAAAAAATACAAGGAAAAAGATGTATTCCACAGAAATCTACAAAGCTCATTTTTAAATGTTTAATTATAGAAAATTTCAAACACATACAAGTAGAGTACAAATCACCCAGTTTCAACAATTATCACTTCAGGACCACTCTTATTTCACTTATCCCTATCCCCACTTTCCGTGAAGTATTCTGAAGCAAATCCCATGCATCGCATGATAAGGCTATTTTAAAATACTTTATTGGAACAAAATAAATGTATACCAAGGATTAAAAATTATTACTTGCTTGTGGGATGTGTAGGGGTGGGATGGGGGAGGCAGTATGCTTAACAGACAAATTTAAGAGGCTATTATAGACTTTTAAAAGTACTTTCACAAGTAGAAATCAATGAGAAAAGGAAAATGTTCAAATCATTGCAGGTGAGCTACAAATTTGCTATTAGTGGCCCACAAAAAGGACTTGAAAATCACCTTGATTCTCAGGGACTTCAAAATTGGTAATAGAAGACTACTTACTATATTTTGAAAAGAACCTACGTAGCAAATTAGTGGACGCCAGGCTATAATTAACTTTAGACCTGGTGATAGTGGTGATCAGGTGGGGCTGTACCTTATTTGGAAAGATTTCCTTCAGGATAAGTTGGGGTTTAAGGGATGTGCAGAAGTTAACACAGTATATGGGGAGAGGTACATTCCAGGCACAATAAATGTTAAGATTCTGGGGCAGGAGATGGGAAAGGGGAGGGATCTGACATATTAGAAGAACAAAGAGACAGCCAGGGTGGGTGATGAATAAAGAGCAAAGAGAAGAAGAATGTTAGAAGAGGCCAGAGAAAGGAAACAAGGAAGTTTTCAAAGGCTACTGGGTTTGTATCAAAAGGATTCAAGAGCCAACTTGGCTTCTACAGGTCAAAGATGGGACAATTTGAGCATCGTAAGGATAGTAACTGGAACAGATTAGAACAAATGAAATAAATTTAATTCACAAATTCATAATGATTCCTCTAAAATACTCACTGGGGCCCAACTGAAGGATTCTGGAAAACTAACTCATTATTTTGAAAACAATAAATAAAGGAAAAGAATTAAACACACACACACACATAGCCATAAAGGTAAATAGGAGCCAGATCAGGGAAGAGCACTATGAAGGATTTTAGACTATTAATTAACTGATTAATAGAGAACACAAGAGCAAACCTAGAGTTTAGTAGACAGATATCTACTGAGATTAATTCCTTACCTGTCCTTTCTCACCAGTCTTCTCTAAATAAATCTTTTAAAAAAGAAAAAACAAAAGGGGATTTGGGCTTTCATCATTTTCCATTAATTTCAGCTCATTTTCATTTTGGTCTCCTCATTATTCTTCCCATCTACACTACTCATTTGTGTCCGATCTTAGTTTAAAAATATTTTTTCTTATCATTTATAATAGCCCCTAAAAAAAAAAAAAACTTGGGAATAAATCTAACCAGGGATATAAAAGACCTATACAAAGAAAACTACAAAACACTACTGCAAGAAATCAAGAGACCTACGTAAATGGAAAAACGTACCATGCTCATCGATAGGTAGACTCAACATTGTGAAAATGTAAATTCTACCCCAAGCAATCTACAAATACATGCAATCCCAATCCAAATACCAACACATTCTTTAACGAGATGGAAAAACTGATCATTAACTTCATATAGAAAACAAAGAGACCCTCGATAAGTGCAGTATTATTGAAGAAGAAAAACGTAGGAAGCCTCACACTACCGGGCCTCAGAACCTACTATACAGCCACGGTAGTCAAAACAGCCTGGTACTGGTACAATGACAGACACATGGAACAATGGAACAGAACTGAGAACTCAGATGTAAATCCATACACCTATGGTCACCTGATCTTTAACAAAAGCACAAAGTCCATTAAATGGGGAAAAGACAGTCTCTTTAACAAATGATGCTGGCAAAATTGGATGTCCATCTATAAAAAAATGAAACAGGACCCATATCTCACACCATACATAAAAACTCATTCAAAATGGATCAAAGATCTAAATATAAAACCAAAAACTATAAAGACCATGGAAGAAAAAATAGGGTCAACACTACCAAAAAACCAAAACCAAACCCATTGCTGCTGAGTTGACTCCAACTCATAGCGATCCTATAGGACAGAGTAGAACTGCCCCACAGGGTTTCCAAGGAGCACCTGGTGGATTCGAACTGCTGTCCTTTGGGTTAGCAGCTGAACTCTTAACCACTTTGCCGCCAGGGTTTCCAGTCAACCTTAGTGGCCCGAATATATGGCATAAATAGGATACAAACCATAACCAACAATACACAAACACCAGAAGATAAGCTAGATAACTGGGATCTTCTAAAAATTAAACACTTATGCTTATCACAAGACTTCACCTAAAGAGTAAAAAGAGAACCTACAGGCTGGGAAAAAATTTTTTAGCTGTGACATATCCAACAGAGGTCTAATCTCTAAAATATATAGGAAAATCCAACATCTTGACAACAGAAAGACAAATAATCCAATTAAAAAATGGGCAAAGGATATGAACAGACACTTCACCAAAGAAGGCATTCAGGCAGCTAACAGACACATGAGGAAATGCTTGCAATCACCAGCCATTAAACCAAAAAAAAAAAACCAAACCCATTGCCATCGAGTCGATTCTGACTCATAGTGACCCTATAAGGGACAGAGTAGAACTGCCCCATAGAGTTTCCAAGGAGTGCCTGGTGGATCTGAACTGCCAACTTTTTGGTTAGCAGACATAGCTCTTAATCACTACGCCACCAGGGTTTCCATTAGAGAAATGCAAATCAAAAATACAATGAGATACCATCTCACCCCGACATTACTGGCATGAATCAAAAAAACAGAAAATAACAAATGTTGGAGAGGCTGTGGGGAGATTTAAACTCATATGCACTGCTGGAGGGAATGCAAAATGGTACAACCATTTTTGGAAAATAATATGGCACTTTCTTAAAAAGCTAGAAATAGAAATACCATATGATCCAGCAATCCCACTCCTAGGAATATATCCTGGAGAAATAAGAGGCATCACACAAATAGACATATGCACACCCATGTTCATTGCAGCATTATTCACAATAGCAAAAAGATGGAAACAACCTAAGTGCCCATCAACAGAGGAATGGATAAACAAACTATGGTACATACACACAATAAAATACTACGCAAAGATAAAGAACAATGATGAATCTGCAAAGCATCTTACAACATGGATGAATCTGAAGGGCATTATGCTGAGTGAAATAAGTCAATCACAAAAGGACAAATACTGTATGCGACCACTATTATAAAAACTTATGAAAAGGTTTATACACATAAAGAAACAATCTTTGATGGTTACAAGGGAGTAGAGAAGTGGGAGGGAACAGCACTAACTAGGCAATAGATAAGTAGTAACTTTGGTGAACGGTAAGACAGTATACAATACTGGGAAAGTCAGCAAAACTTAACCTGCGCAAAGTCATACAAGCTTCATAGACACAATCAAACTCCTCAAGGGACCGAGTTACTGGACTGAGGGCTGGAGACCACGGTCTCACGGGACATGTAGTACAACTGTCATAACATAGTTTATAAAGAAAATGTTCTACATCCTACTTTGGTGAGTAGTGTCTGGGGTCTTAAAAGCTTGTGAGCAGCCATCTAAGACACTTCTACCGGTCCCACCCTGTCTGGAGCAAGGGAGAATGAAGAAAACCAAAGATGCAAGAGAAAGATTAGTCCAAAGGACTAATGGACCACAACTACCACAGCCTCCACCAGACTGAGTCCAGCAGAGCTACATGGTACCCAGCTACTACCACCGACTGCTCTGATGGTGACCACAGTAGAGGGTCCCGGACAGAGCTGAAGAAAAATGTAGAAGAAAATTCTAATTCACAAAAAAAGACCAGACTTACTGTTCTGACAGAAACTGGAAGAACTCTGACAGTATGGCCCCCAGACACCCTTTTAGCTCAGTACGGAAGTCACTCCTGAAGTTCACCCTTCAGTCAAAGATTAGACAGGCTTATAAAATAAACAATAACACATGTAGTTCAACTATGTATACAAGACTAAATGGGCATACCAGCCTAGCAGGCAGGAAGGGACCAGAAAGCTGGACGAATAGAAATGAGGAACCCAAGGTCGAGAAAGGGAGAGTGCTGACACATCGTGGGGTTGGCAACCAAGGTCAAAAAACAATATGTATAATTGTTTAATGAGAAACTAATTTGCTCTGTAAACTTTCACCTAAAGCACAATTATATATGTATGTATGTGTATATATATGTATGTGTGTGTGTGTGTATTCATGTGTTTTTAAAATTTGAGAAAACAGAGGTAGATTTAATTGCATTATGAGAAGAAAATGGGAAAAACACAAAAAGAAAACATTTCAATCATTCTTTTAGGAAGGCAAAAGATGAATGATTTTCTATATGACACCCCTAAACTGTGTTAGAATGGGGAAAATGTAGAAATACCCCACATAAACATAGCTGTCAAGGCTACCCTAGTCATTCATCACAAAAAGTTGTCTAACAGAAAAAAAATCTTGTATTTTTTATTAAAATTTTTTAAATGTTAGCTTCTAATACAGAATCTTAAGTAACTGAGATTTGAATATTATTTCCACTCAAACTTTCAGTCCAATGTATTAAAGTCAATATAAAGAACAGATTTATTTGTTTGAAAAAAATTACTCAATTTTCTTGAAGGTTAATGTTTCCAACACAGAGACTAGCATAAAGAATTTACCATCTCCCTCTCCATCCCACATCTCCTAGAATATTTACAAATATAAACATAAATATATTATGCTATAACATATTTAAATATCATTAAAATGTCTTTGGATACTAAGGATTTTATTTTTTAATTCACAAAAAATAATTAAAAGTACAAATGTTTAAACATTTTAAAGGTATGTTTTCAAAGTGATGAACAAAATGTACATCTCCTATTAACAGAGTTGTGTATTAATTCTGATATACCACTTTGAAAACTTGCCAATTAGAAAATGTAATTTTTTTTACCTCTTCTTGTCCAAATTGCTCCATAGAATCACAGTAAACTTCACCGTCTGAATCACTGGTCAAATGCTGAATTCCTGAAACATCTTCAACATGATCATCATTTACAGCTAAATATAATTTTAAAAGCGTCCAAGTAGAATATGTTCTAATAGAAGTAACATGCATTTATTCCAGTTTCAAAATTCATCAGATTTAAAACGTTTTCATATTGGGAGACAAATATTATTTATACTAAGTCAGACTTTTTAAATTTTACCAGTACTTTAAGTTTAGCTGGTAATTTTTCTTTGAGAAGATTACAAACTATTTTATCATTGAACTATAGGAAAATACCATCCAGATCAAATCTTAAAAACCCATTGCCGTCGAGTCGATTCCGACTCATAGCGACTCTATAGGTCAGAGGAGAACTGCCCCATACGGTTTCCAAGAGCACCTGGTGGATTCAAACTGCCGACTTTTGGTTACCAGCCGAACTCTTAACCACTACACCACCAGGGTTTCTCTTACAAAACCTAATATCCTTATAACAGAAAACTATCAAATTTGGGATGCAAGTTTGGTTGTTAAATTAAGAAATGATATTCTTGACTGAATTACAGCAAAGGCATCATATTGTCAGAGATTTAAGTTAAAAGAAGCAACCGGAATAAAAGTAAAAATTTCAAAGATCTGATTTTGAAATGTCATATAATAACACAATAAAAAATGTCTCAATAAAAATATAATAACCTTGACTCTAATTCACTCTTTCAAAGCTAAAAGCCCTTATACTATTAATAAACCTGAATGTATTACTAAATAAGAGTCTTTTATCCTAAACTGCTCCTAAATATCCTAAAATTTTCTAAAAGAATATTTGATTCATAGCAAAAAGACTGGACAAAGAATTATTATGGAACAGTACCTTCGTGAATGCACACAGTAGTTTTTCCAGTTTGTTCAAAGTTTTGCTCCACAGGTTTTACTTCTTCAGTGCTTTCGCCATTCAGGGAAGAACTAGCATGAAAGTCATTCTGTATATCCTGAACAAAGCTGTCTTTATCATAGCCATTAGTGACAATAATTTCCAAATTGTTATGGTCTGCTGATTTCTTCATCATTTTCTTATCTTTTATGAGAAAATGGAGAGATTCATGAAAGTTCACAATTGGTCAACTTCTGCATCTTTTGCAACTTCTGGATTTTCTAACATCCATGAGTCATTTCCCCAACCTATCAAAATCCCTTTGCAGGGTTTCCTACTTGGATCCAAGATAGGGTACTCCTTGAAAAGGGGTTTATCATTTGCTGCAAACTCACCCAAACTTTGCTGACTTCAAAACTGCTTCAGTTCCCTGTGAATCTTCTAGAACCCTTTAAAAGATAATCTCTCAAGGTCTTTAAACTTTCTCAAGCATAGGCTAACTGCTCTACAAGACCCAGCAGTGCAAATGGATCCGCATAACCAATAAGAAGATCCCTCATAGAAGGTATCATTCATCATATCTCACCAAAAACTGAAGGTGAAACTAAGTTACCATTTCCTTTAGCATCTTCCTGCCTCCTCTTTCTAAAATAATCTTCCCATTCATCATTGGTACTCTTGCCAACAGTACCCTTAATACAGTACTCCATGGTTCCAATCTTCCCTCTTCATCAAAACTTCTGCCTGCATCCTATTCTCTTTTTCCATTCTACTCTTGGTAAGATATTGAGAGTTTAACTTGTCTCCTCTCTTTGGTAGCACATGCATATTCAAACTGAGACAACACCTTAAACTAATAAATTTCTGGAGTTCCTGCATAGTACAAACAGTTAGCAACCTCAGTGCTAACTGAAAGGTTGGCGGTTTGAGTTCACTAAGAGGAACCTTGGATGAAAGGCCTGGCAATCTACTTCTGAAAAATCAGCCATTGTTCTACTTTGACACACATGGTGTTGCCATGAGTTGGAATCAACTTGATGACAACTGATTGATAAAATGCTAACATCTCAGGCACTACATGTGGGGCAGTAGCCCATTCTTCTCAGCCTTCAGTCAACACTTACTCCATCTGTGTATAAAGCTGGCTGTCCCTGTATTTTGAAATAGACTCTTTTGGTCCACAGCAAATCTGGTTATAGGGTCAAGAGACGACATCCCATCACATGCACTAATCTCCTTCAATCCCAAAACAGCCCAAATCCTTCCATATCCTTTTATCTTAATGAAGAATTATTAGTCCATCATCCAAATATTACCGTTATCACTTTGTTCTGCTCCTTTCACTTCTTCTCGGGCCTCTTCTTCTTCTGACTCAGCTCCACTATCACTGCTTTCAGCTTTACCATTCATGGTTTTGGCATTTGGAGTAGTTAGAACATTACCAAGGTCTGAAACATGAAATGACTACTTAATCTCTAATGCTTCAATACAGTCCGTAATGCTGTATTTAATAAACAATGCTATAATTTATAAATAACTAATAAAATCATTTTGAAGGATACTAAAATGTTAAAAGTTTGATACATATACTTTTCTTTAACTATAAATATACATATATTACACAAATACATAAATTCCTTCAATTATTGGTTTACATCAAAAATGATAAAGCTATCTTAAATCCTTTTTGAACAAGGCAGAGGATAAGTTATTAAGGTAACATCAATCAAAATCGTCAAGTTAGAGAGAGATGAGTACTCCTCAGCATAAATGGTAAATGAAGACCACCATGAAGCTATCGTGCTGAAAACATAAATATAATTTTTCTGGCCTGAATAACAATCTCATATAACAACAAAATGTTCTGGACTACTTTTTGAACTTTTTTAACTTTTTTTTAATTTTTAGGACTTCTTTGAGTCCACTCAAGTGCACAATTTATTATATATTTTTTGATATACAAGTTTTTTTTACAGCATCATCAGTTAATATGATCAATCACTTAAAGAGGCAAACTGTCCTATTTCCCAAAGAATAAATACACCAGAGATTCTCAAACTAAAATGTGCATATGAATCACCTGAGATCTAGTTAAAAGTGAAGATTCTGTATGAGTAGGTCTGAGGTGATCTGAGATTCTGCATTTCCTTAAAGCTCCCATGTGATACCAGTGATGTGGTTCACAGAACCACATTTTTAAAAACAGAGAATTATATTTCCATCAACTCTTTTTAAGATACTAAAGGCCTCTTAAGTGGCTAGTGCCCCAAAAGAGTGGCCTTCCCCCATAAACTTTTGGGCTATAATTTCACTGATACAAATGCATTTTGGATGCTTTCCTGCATTCTAAATATTAAATTCCAAAATCTCCATACATCTTAAACAGTCAGGCCCAAACTCTTATTTAAGTCTACCTAATTAACTGTAAGGAGCACTGGTGGTGTAGTGGCTAAAGCACTCAGCTGCTAACTGAAAGGTCGGTGGTTCGAACCCATCAGCCGCTTCATGGGAGAAAGATACAGCAGTCTGCTCCCGTAAAGATTACAGCCTAGAAAACCCCATAGGGCAGTGCTACTATGTCTTATAGGGTCGCTGTGAGTTGGATCAACTCAGCAGCAAGGGTAATCAACTCACTGATGTATACTACAGGATAAAGGAATGAGTAACTATAGTTATTACAAACCAAGATTTCTAGTGTAAAAGAGTATACAGTAATCCCCCCTTATCTATGGAGGATACGTTCCAAGACCCCTGTGGATGCCTGAATCCGTGGATAGTAGCAAACCCTATGTACAAGTCAGCCTTCTGTATCCATCGGTTCCAAAATGCAAAACTTGAATTTGCTGCATGCCTAGCACCCATGCAAATGAAGTGGTGTATAGGCACACCCTGCTGTAGCCTCCTGTCATTTCACACATCCTCAGTCTCTCTCCAGCACTAGTTGTTTGACCATTGTTTGCCTTGTGTGTTATTATTCCCTAAACAATACAGCACTGTATAACAACTATTTACATAGCATTTACATTGTGTTAGGTATTATAAGTAATCTAGAGATGATTTAAAGTATATGGGAGGATGCACACAGGTTATATGCAAATACCGCTCCATTTTATATAAGGGACTTCATCCTCAGATTTTGGTATCCGTGGGCGTCCTTGAACCAATCCTCTGTGGATACCAAGGGACGACTGTACACTCTGTTTTGTCCTATACATACATATCCATGATAAAGTTTAATTTATAAATTAGGCACAGTAAGAGATTAACAACAATAACTAATAATAAAATAGAACAATTATAAAAATATACTATAATAAAAGTTATGTGAATGACAGAGCAGGATGGCGAGAGATTTCATCATGCTATGTAACTCATTTAACATTTTCAGACCACAGTAGGCTGCAAGTAACTGAGACCGTGGAAAGCAAAACCGCAGGTAAGGGGGATTACTGTAAGTATAAAATCAAATTAATTTAAATGCAAATATTTTAAATGCAAATATCAGCATGAACTTCTCATTTTTTTCTTAAAAAAAAAACCCACACATTTCTTAGCTCAGTTTCCCAAAAATGGCCTAAAAGCAATGAATATCTAGTAGCAGTGAGCACTCACGGTGTTCAAATTATCCTTCTAAATATCATTTACCATTAGAAAAAAAAAAAACTAGGACTGCTTGGAAAAATGGTTGTTTCCAAGACGGGCATAAAAAGAATAAGATGTACCTGAGATACCTTATGCCAGAAAGCAAGTAAGCTGTCAAATACTACATCAAAAGGGTATAAAAGCCTGACTTAAGACATTTCTAGTGGCTAAACATAGGATTTTAGGTATCAAAAGTAAGGCAATTGGGGGCGGGGCCAAGATGGCAGAGTAGTAGATGCTTCTGGTGGACCCTCTTAAAACAAAGACCTGAAAAAACAAGTGATTTAATTATATATGGCAATCTGAGAGCCCTGAACATCAAAGGCAGAGTTGAGGAAGCAGACTGAGTGGCAGGTGAAGGGAGAGACGTATGGAAGCAGTGAGGAGTAGCCAGACCTGACCCGGCAAGAACCCGAGCCCTTCAGGCCTGATCAGCTCGCAGGTGAGTGGCGAGGCAGGCAAGCAGCGGAGCTCGTGAGGTGCATTTTCCACACCAGGAGAGACCCACGCCAAAAAGTTTACATGGCTGCGCAGAACCAGGGAGAAACAACCCTCCACGAAAGATAAGTACTTGCGTAGGGCTAACCGCGTGGATCAAAAATACCTCCCTTAGGGAAAATCCTCTCTCCCATTTACCTCCCCGCTCCCCACTCTGCACTGGGTCCCAGACTGGCATCAGCAATTGCCTAGTCCCCTGAGTCGGAAGTAGGATACATCACACACCCAGAGCCATTCTCCCTGCCTAGGAGAGTGAACAAGTTAACAAATGGGAAAAAACAAACCGCCAGCTCCCCTAAGCCAGGAACCCAGGATAGACAATAGCTCTTTTGTCTACACACAGGCATAAGGGATCCACGGTCTTTGAGTGCCTTTCCACCAGCATAGACTTGTGTGGGCCCATTTCAACAGGATAGGCACTCATTACCGCAGTAAAACAGGGTATATACAGGAACCATAACTTAAACTGTTTCAGCTGTGAAGTAGCAGGTTCGTGACATTTGACACTGTTCTGCCTATTAAGCATAGTCTTCACCTACCCATATCAGGGGCCTGAGGACTGGTGGCTCCACCCACACCACCTAGCCACCTGCAAGAGGGGCC